GCCAAATATCATCACCCAGGGCATTTTGGTTATTCAGAAGAAGTTATTTAAAGGTTTTTTAAGACAATTGACCCCTGTGACCTTGAATATAATTGAAGGTCATTCATTTGAACAAACTTGGTAGCCCTTCACCCTAGCATGCTACTGACCAAATATCATCTCCCTGGGCAGCTTGGTTATTGAGAAGAAGTTGTTTAAAGTTTTCAACATATTTGACCCCTGTGACCTTGAAAATAGATGAAGGTCATTTATTTGAACAAACTTGGTAGCCCTTCATCCCAGTTTGCATCTGGCCAAATATCATCACCCTAGGCCTTTCGGTTATTAAGAAGAAGTCGTTTAAAGTAAAATATTGACGCCGGACGGATGCCGGACGGACGACGGACGCCGCACCACGGCATAAGCTCACTTGGCACTTCGTGCCAGGTGAGCTAAAAATAGCTTTATAATACATATATATAGAATCAGAGGCCCCATGGGGCCTGAGAAGTCATTTCTGTCACTAATGATATATATCTCTCAGAATAGAACAAATGCAATACCTGCAAATCCGTCAAAGCCTATACCCCCTGGGGCAGGGGGTGCTGGTGAGTAAGGGGGAGGGGCAGCCCCACCATACCCAGGCTGAGGCTGAGATGGGTACTGTGCGTGGGTCTGTGGAGCCGTCTGGGCCTGCATGGATGCTGGCTGCTGTTTTTGAGCATTATGCTGAGGAGGAGGTGGAAGCTACAATACAATTGTAAGATTAGTGAGGTCTGACATAATGTATTGGTAACAAAAGAATTGCTATTTAGTACATTTTTGACAGTGCGATATTTATTGGAATCTATCGACTTGATAAAACTGATATCTTTCACACACTGACAAATATAAAAGTAATAATAGGTTCTGATGATGACACGCCTCATGTGTATAGACTATTCAACGTTAACTTGGATTTAAGTTGTTACACCCAGCACGACGTTGTCATGGTCATCTTTTCCTTTTGAAAAGTAAAAACTGTCGCAGTGTAAAGATGTTAATTTTAGTATTAGCCAATCAGAATATTTTTTTATATTTACTGTACTCAATTAAGATTTTATGTTCAGATGCAGATAAAGTGACAGGAGAATAAGTGATTGTTTAATTGTCTTCGCTACATACACTTAGGTTTTTACTTAACTACACACCTGATAATATTTTTTGTAACCAAATCTTAAAGGATAAAAGAAGACAACAGTAGAATTGCATTCAGTAGACCCTTCCACCTGGTGTGTGAATTTGTTGTCCAGCATCATTGTGTCATTGGAATCAGTGGCAAAGATATTGCACTACTAACTCCAGAAACTTTCCACTTTTTTCATCAACAGCCATATACATTTTACTCATATAGCTGAATATACCGATTTCTTCACTTGTCGTTTACCATTGCAAAAACTTGCATTTGCTTTGCCATACTTGTTAAATGTAGGAAAACATTTAGTATCCTCCATATCTTTAAGTCCTTTGGTAAGTCACGGTAGTATCAGTAGCTAATTAGTATTAGTTGTGATCTTAGAGAGTATCAAAACAAATCTAAGTGATTACGACGGGTAACTATGAGTTATCTTATTGAGTATCAGTACAGATCTTAGTGATTACGAACGGTTACTATGAGTTATCTTATTGAGTATTAGTACAGATCTTAAAGATTACGAACGGTAACTATGAGTTATCTTATTGAGTACCAGTACAGATCTTAGTGATTACGAACGGTGACTATGAGTTATCTTATTGAGTATCAGTACAGATCTTAGTAATTACGAATGGTAACTATGAGTTATCTTATTGAGTACAAGTACAGATCTTAGTGATTACGAATGGTAACTATGAGTAATCTTATTGAGTATCAGTACAGATCTTAGTGATTACGAATGGTAACTATGAGTTATCTTATTGAGTACCATTACAGATCTTAGTGATTACGAACGGTCACTATGAGTTATCTTATTGAGTATCAGTACAGATCTTAGTGATTACGAATGGTTACTATGAGTTATCTTTATTGAGTATCAGTACAGATCTTAGTGATTACAAACAGTAACTATGAGTTATCTTTATTGAGTATCAGTACAGATCTTAGTGATTAGGAAGGGTAACTATGAGTTATCTTATTGAGTATTAGTACAGATCTAAGTGATTACGAATGGTAACTATGAGTTATCTTATTGAGTATCAGTACAGATATTAGTGATTACGAATGGTAACCATGAGTTATCTTATTGAGTATCAGTACAGATCTTAGTGATTACGAACGGTTACTATGAGTTATCTTTATTGAGTATCAGTACAGATCTTAGTGATTAGGAAGGGTAACTATGAGTTATCTTATTGAGTATCAGTACAGATCTTAGTGATTACGAACGGTAACTATGAGTTATCTTATTGAGTATTAGTACAGATCTAAGTGATTACGAATGGTAACTATGAGTTATCTTATTGAGTACCATTACAGATCTTAGTGATTACGAATGGTCACTATGAGTTATCTTATTGAGTATCAGTACAGATCTTAGTGATTACAAACAGTAACTATGAGTTATCTTATTGAGTACAAATGATGACTATGAGTTGTGATTTTATTGAGTACAAGTACAGATCTTATTGAGTATGAACGATGACTATGAGTTGTGATCTTATTGAATACCAGTCATGTAGCTGATAGCAAACTTACAGTGCTGACTATGGCTGCCATCCACTCACTGTTAACAAAGAATAAAATACAAATAATTACATAAAATTCACAACTCCACATGACTCTACATTCTAATCACATAACACTATAGATCTAAGAATTCTAAACCCGTTAATCTGTTGATTCTTCACTTTACGATTTGTATTTTTCCTTATATTTCAAACTAAAAGCTGTTTACAGCAAAAAAATGTTTTATACATACAGAAATCACCTTAATATTCTGTATCCATACTTCTATTTTGGCTATTTAGATATTAAAGAAACACAAACTGACCCTAGGAATATCATCGAAAGCCACTGAAACAGAAAATATGACTGAAACATTGACAAAAAATATGTGGAAAGAGATGGTCAATCATGTCATAATGCTCTGTATGACACTGGTAGAAAGGCATTGCGTTGTACACCTACTGTAGTTCATTATCACTTGCGACCAGGAACCAGTATATCTTTGCCTTGCTGTTGTTTCTTGTGGGCACGGCCAGCATCTGGCTATAGGCAGCTCCCGAGGGCAGCTGTGGACGGCCTTCCATACCATTAGTGTAGTCACCAAAGGCAAACCTCTTAGACACATCCTTCAAAACAAAGGAGAGCACTTGATAACGATCCTGATTTTAATAGACAATTTTTGTCACTGTCACATAATTTCAGATCTAAATACTACGATGCTAATATTTCTCATTGTTTTGTCTACAAGGGTTTTGCCAGCTATTTTGGGGAATGGCCCCTGAGCAGGAACACGGAAAGTATCATCGGCATTTGGTAAAAGTTGGGAAATATCATCAGTGTTCCCACATGTGCAGGTTGGGGAAAATACCATTAGTTTGGAAAAAATAAATTTCGTGATTAGCAAAATGTTTTCCTCTAGCTGTTTCTTACAGTAAAATGCATATGTATAGCACTAAATAAACACATCAATTTTCAGGGGTTTTGTTTACCTGTATTCAATTTCAAATTGTTGTTACTTATGTTTTTTGAATGCTCGCTTCATGGAAAGTAATACTTTGAATGTTGCACATATAACAACAAGAAACTTGTATAAACATGCTTTTTAATCCAATTGGGAAAATTCAGACTGAAAATGGGAAAATTCAGGGTCATTTTTCAATTGGGAATGTGTCCTTGTACCGGACCCTATAAACACCTGGCAAAAACCCTGGTCTATAATAGAATCTTATAAACATGTGATTGAGTTTTTTCTAAAATAGAGTCTTACAAACTTTCAAATTATCCAATGACTTTAAAACAAAGCAAGTAGAACAAAATGTGATAAGTATATTTCAACATTAGACAGAAACAATACTGGATGATCTATTTCTGTTGATACATCTGTAATTTGTTTATATATGTAGCTTACCTTCATGTGAACTTTGCCCTTGACCTCATTGTCACCTTGACGTTTGTAGATAACAAGGTTACTGTCACTGTACAGTATCACCCACACTGTCTGCCAGCCTCCAGAGAACATGCTCTCTGGGGGAGAAATCATAAATCAAGGAGTGTCATGGAAACGTGATAAACTAAGCTGTGTGACGATTATATTACATTAGAGCTGTTTTATAAAAAGAATACTGGTACACTTTATCTGTTATATGGACAATACTTCCAAAACTCGCACCAATGTATATATATTGCATTATAAAGTATCATTAAGCGTATTATAAATTAACATATATACCTCACTTTGAACATATTGTATCTTTGTAATAGAAGAACTTTTCTGTTAAACAGCTAACTGTTAATCATGTTATTCTTGTGTGCAAGATATTTTGTAGGTTCTATTCATGAACACTTAAATTGTTGACTTATGGGATGTATTTTTTTTCCATTATTGAAAGTAACATTTCAAGGAATAAATATTTATGAATAATTGGTCAATCAAAGAAATGAAGTGATAAACATTAAACAAGCTTTTCTTCAATTTACAATTGAAAATGATGGTTAATTCATGCATATTTCTGAAAATACATGTACTGACTTAAATTATTCTTAAACAATTTCAAAATCTTTAAACAACATAACATGAAGTGAATAAATCTAGATAACTTACTACTATACCGCTTAAGGTAACCTGACTTTACAATCTGCGTCATCTTGGCACTTTCTCTTGTTCTCTACCTGAAATAATATATGCATGAAGGGAAGTGTAAATGTCTATTGATGTCAATCTGATTTACATTATTCTGAAAAGTAAGACATGGAGGCGAAAGTCTGTAATGTGCAGGGGGTCACCCATCCAGCCACTGACCACACTTAACGTTGCTTAACTAGTGAGTGCTTTATTTATATATACTGCATCATTGGAAAAGCTAGCTTACAAACATAGAAGGCAGTACTATAACCAACTCTTGTGTCTCACTTAGTCATAGTTCCATTCTAAATTATTTGACACATTTATGCAAGTAATCATTCAAATTGGCAATGAGTTTGCAATGTACATAATAACAACTGCAATCAGATAATGTCAATATATATCTCCATCATACATGACACTTCTTTTACAGGCTAGGAAGACTCCCTATTTTGGACCCTTAAATTTAACATTTTCAGCCAGTAGAATAACTTAAATAAACTATTCCTATATTCTACAATGTAATGTGTTCATCAGATCTGACAGGAACATACAGTGGCATAGCAAATCATTTTTCGAAGTGTATGCTTACAGAGGATTGAGCGTTTGAGGCGCGTAGCGCCAGATGGTGCTAAAAAAAATCTACTAGGCCCTAGAAGCAATTTCTCGTTTTTTGGGAAGTCCTTTTAGTCTGATTATTAGCAAGTAAAGCCTGACTTTTTATATCAATAATGTTGAATTTTGTACTTAACTAAATAGTTTTTTATTTACATAAACTTTCGAGATTTTTTAATGTGTATAGACATTTATGATTGATAAGATTGACGGTCCATATTAATCATAAAAAGAGAAATTACAAAAATATGTTGTTTATAAAAAATCTTCCTGAAAACTTTAGTGTATACTTGAGCATACAAGCATGTTTTTTAATTTAGTTTTACTAAGCACAAGGAATCTCCCCAATAGATATTTCAAAGAGTTGGCACAGGTGATACTGTCTTATAATTACAGTAAAGTGAGAAAATTAAGTAAGATTGATAGTAAAGAGATAGGATGTACATGTTTATTGTAATTAAATTGGCTACATGGATGTAACAGTACATAACATACATTTATATCAAGATTAGGTGCAGTGACCATGATGACTCACACAGACGTAAACACCAGTCTACCAAAAAGTGCTAAAGGCAAACGCTAAAAATAAAGTCTACATTTGTATACATGTGTCATTGGCCAATTCATCTGCTTTCATCTTTTCCAGAACACTCTTTGCTATACCAAAACTATTAAATAGATATATATCAACTTACTGTTCATTGAATGGATTCAGAAGTGAATAAAGAGTAAAGTTTAATATTATGAATAAATGCTAAAGTAAAACTATGGATTTGAACAATTATTCTTATTATGAATTATTTTGAGCAAAACAGTAATAGATGCTCTACTAGGGGGTCACGATTTCGATCGTAACACGTACAAATACATTTCGTAACATTGATGAAGAGCTCTGTAATCTGCCAACAGATGCAATCAGAGGTCCATAAATACGATAATTATTTTATAAATTCTAACGCTGATCTAATTTGACCGGTTTAATTTTGTGATATTTATACAGTAGAGAAAATAGAATATAAATAAGTATAAATCATAACAACTTCGCTCTGAAATTTGAAGTGAGCGCGACATAAAATAAATAGTCCACATTCCAGTCCGTACAAAATTTACATCGGCTGTTGTTAGACCAACTGCAGATCTTTTTCTACTTTAACCGTAAAATAACCTACTTCAACAGTTTAGAAATTGTGTAATGTGCGTAGTGTGGAATGAAGAGAAAGAGAGCAGAAGTTCAATATTTGGAGGTAGAGGGACTGCGGTTTTGAAGAAGAATCTGCTGTAATACGTTCATTCAATCACTGAATGATTCAGATTCTGCTTACACATACCTGAAGGGTAACCCTGATAACCTCTTCGCCTATACATACCCAATAAAATGCGATGTACTTTCTAAAATCATCAAAACATCTCTTACAACCCGCCGTACAGAAACATGATGGTCTCGGTTGACAAAATTACTATTAATATTTGACAGCGACATGCTTAGGGTGAACATGTATCTCGAGGTAAAAGTTAAACACATTGGTGATAAGGAATTGTGAAGAGAAGACAACTCCATTTACCGCGAAGTTTCAACTTTTCAACGCAGAACGTGTTCCACTAGATTCGACCCGGTAGTTAAACACCCGTACATGCTGTAATAAAGACTGTTTTCAGTAAGCATACCACTCATGTAAGGATCTAACACGGACAACAAAATAACTTAATCAAAATTCACCATTATATTCATAACAGCATGACATTTATAAAATGAATAAACACGGAGAAAACTTTGGTTCATTGGTTCATTGATTATGACACCGTTGTAAGCGTCAGTCGCTTCTTGAGGTGCTTCTTAATTCTGTCCACTTCACTTCCGGTTGCATTAGGAGGTATTGAAGAAGACTTGTTTTTCAATAACTAGTGATAATTATTTACAGGTGCAGTGGGTGATAACAAGGGTAGTATAATAATTTCATATAAGATAAGGGTATTCAGTTATAAAAAAAGGACTGACAGGCCTGTATAGACCTGTCATGATACCTGTACTTAGAAGTATAGATATTTAAAGGGTTTAATGAGTTAAAAAAAGTACTGAATTTGGATTGAACATTTGGGAAGTTGTATGTGTTAATTATATAACCCAGCTAATTAGTAGAAGCTTGGTTCGAACTTAATGGGGTGATTTATCCAGTATTTGTTTAACCTGGTCTTAAAAGAAAACAGAGATGGGGCATTAACCACTTGATCAGAGAGACCATTCCAATCATTTACAATTCTAAATTTGAACGAATGGCCACGCAGATTACTTCTACACCTCAGTTTTTCAAGTTTCTGGTTGTGACCTCTGGTTGTTCTTGTTGCATTGATTTTTAGAAAGTCATCTTTGATGTTGTCTATCCCATTTATTATCTTAAAGGTTTGTACCATATCTGACCTTAGTCTCCTGTACTCCATTGTTGGTAGCCCAAGAGCCTTAAGTCTTTCAGGATAGGATAAGTCTTTGATACCAGGGACCAGTTTGGTGGCTCTTCTTTGCACATTTTCTATAGATATCTTATCCTTTATAAGCATGGGTGCCCAAACTACAACAGCGGTCTCTAGATATGGTCTTACAAGGGATTTGTATAGGGTAATGAACATTTCTTTGTTTACACAGCTAAAGGTCCTAAAGATCATTCCTACATTTCTGTTTGCTTTTGCTACTGACAGGTTTACATGTTCACTNTGTCTGTAGAATACATAATGATTTTGGAAACAGTATCGCTTTTGTTGGTTGAAAAATGAAATTGAATAATTGTTTCATCTTTGAGATTAAAAAATGGGAAGGAAGTTGAAAGATTATTTTATTATTACATTTGTATAATATATCCCCCAAAGTTCTACTTAATATACATAGTCTGAGTTATTGTGTATTGGATCTATTAGTGATATTGATGTATTTCTTAATTTAAATTGATTATCCTCAAAAGTATCAATCTCAACTTTATTCTTCTATATTTCTTTCTGTTCAATTGTGAAAAAACAGCAGGTAGGGAAAGCAAAAACATATTGTTTTTATTGTGCCACATGCAAAATCTAACATAGTGCGCAATTGAAGAATAATATTCAGTTCCCAGCAGCTCTGACTGAATCTAAGTAATTTAGTTTTCTCAAAAAATTCTTCTAATAGTAGTAAGATTAAAACTGTTTTATCAGTTTTTTGATTGACATGTACGTGTTAAATCTCTCGATAAGTAACTTTGTACCTACATCAATGGAGGATTGCATTTTTTAAGTGCTGGTCTAAATATATTGTAATTGATTTTCTGACTACTATGGGTTTGACTGCTGAGAACGCAAATATGCTGAACAACAGGAAACTTCTTTACTTGACCCAGACCACTTTTCCAGAAAGACCACCTGTCTGTAAAGACCATCTGTCTGTAAAGACCACCTGTCTGTAAAGACCACCTGTCTGTTAAGACCATCTGTATATAAAGACCACCTGTTTGTAAAGACCACCTATCTGTAAAGACCACCTATCTGTAAAGACCACCTGTTTGTAAAGACCACCTGTCTGTAAAGACCACCTGTTTGAAAAGACCATGTACCTATAATAGGGGTTTTGCCAGCTATTTGGGAAAGAGCCCCTGAGCAGGAATTGGGAAAATACCATCGGCATTTGGCAAAAATTGGGAAATATCATTGATGTTTCCACACATACATGTTTGGAAAAATATCATAGTTTGGGGAAAAAACCCTAAAATATGGTTAGCAAACAATTTTCCTCTAGCTGTTTCTTACAGTAAAATTTATAGCAATAAACAAACACATACATTTTCAGTGTTTGTGTTTATTCCGTTTCAATTTTTTGTTATTTATGTATTTTGAATGCTCCCTCATGGACTGTAATTATAAAATTTCAGGGATTAATGAATAAAAGCCATACATTATGTACTATTGATATTGATTGTTTGGGTAGCACTGGCTGAAATGTATTTGTTGATATAGTGACAGTTCCTCAATTAAGTGATCACGCACAATATATAAGTAATATTGTATACACTGACCTCAATACCATGGTACCTACATGTCACACCGAGACACTTCCTCTCAATACCATGTCACACCGAGACACTTCCTCTCAATAGCATGTCACACCGAGACACTTCCTCTCAATAGCATGTCGCCCTAAGACACTTCCTCTCAATAACATGTCACGCTAAGACCCTTCCTCTCAATAACATGTCACGCTGAGACACTTCCTCTCAATAACATGTCACACTGAGACACTTCCTCTCACTACCATGTTATCCTAAGACACTTCCTCTCAATACCATGTCCAGCTTAGACACTTTCTCTCAATACCATGTCACACTGTGACACTTCCTCTCAATACCATGTCACACTGAGACACATCCTCTTAATAGCATGTCACACTAAGACACTTCCTCTCAATACCATGTCCCGCTAAGACCCTTCCTCTCAATAACACGTCCCGCTAAGACACTTCCTCTCAATACCATGTCCCGCTAAGACCCTTCCTCTCAATAACACGTCCCGCTAAGACACTTCCTCTCAATACCATGTCACACTGAGACACTTCCTCTATAGCAAAACATTCACTCATACACTTGGATTCAATACCATGTCACACTGAGACACTTCCCCTCAATACCATATCACACTGAGACACTTCCTCTCAATACCATGTCACCCTAAGACACTTTCTCAATACCATGTCACACTGAGACACTTCCTCTCAATACCATGTCACCCTAAGGCACTTTCTCAATACCATGTCACACTGAGACACTTCCTCTCAATACCATGTCACCCTGAGACACTTCCTCTCAATACCATGTCACACTGAGACACTTCCTCTCAATACCATGTCACACTGAGACACTTCCTCTCAATACCATGTCACACTGAGACACTTCCTCTCAATACCATGTCACACTGAGACACTTCCTCTCAATACCATGTCACACTGAGACACTTCCTCTCAATACCATGTCACACTGAGACACTTCCTCTCAATACCATGTCACACTGAGACACTTCCTCTCAATACCATGTCACACTGAGACACTTCCTCTCAATACCATGTCACACTGAGACACTTCCTCTCAATACCATGTCACACTGAGACACTTCCTCTCAATACCATGTCACACTGAGACACTTCCTCTCAATACCATGTCACACTGAGACACTTCCTCTCAATACCATGTCACACTGAGACACTTCCTCTCAATACCATGTCACACTGAGACACTTCCTCTCAATACCATGTCACACTGAGACACTTCCTCTCAATACCATGTCACACTGAGACACTTCCTCTCAATACCATGTCACACTGAGACACTTCCTCTCAATACCATGTCACACTGAGACACTTCCTCTCAATACCATGTCACACTGAGACACTTCCTCTCAATACCATGTCACACTGAGACACTTCCTCTCAATACCATGTCACACTGAGACACTTCCTCTCAATACCATGTCACACTGAGACACTTCCTCTCAATACCATGTCACACTGAGACACTTCCTCTCAATACCATGTCACACTGAGACACTTCCTCTCAATACCATGTCACACTGAGACACTTCCTCTCAATACCATGTCACACTGAGACACTTCCTCTCAATACCATGTCACACTGAGACACTTCCTCTCAATACCATGTCACACTGAGACACTTCCTCTCAATACCATGTCACACTGAGACACTTCCTCTCAATACCATGTCACACTGAGACACTTCCTCTCAATACCATGTCACACTGAGACACTTCCTCTCAATACCATGTCACACTGAGACACTTCCTCTCAATACCATGTCACACTGAGACACTTCCTCTCAATACCATGTCACACTGAGACACTTCCTCTCAATACCATGTCACACTGAGACACTTCCTCTCAATACCATGTCACACTGAGACACTTCCTCTCAATACCATGTCACACTGAGACACTTCCTCTCAATACCATGTCACACTGAGACACTTCCTCTCAATACCATGTCACACTGAGACACTTCCTCTCAATACCATGTCACACTGAGACACTTCCTCTCAATACCATGTCACACTGAGACACTTCCTCTCAATACCATGTCACACTGAGACACTTCCTCTCAATACCATGTCACACTGAGACACTTCCTCTCAATACCATGTCACACTGAGACACTTCCTCTCAATACCATGTCACACTGAGACACTTCCTCTCAATACCATGTCACACTGAGACACTTCCTCTCAATACCATGTCACACTGAGACACTTCCTCTCAATACCATGTCACACTGAGACACTTCCTCTCAATACCATGTCACACTGAGACACTTCCTCTCAATACCATGTCACACTGAGACACTTCCTCTCAATACCATGTCACACTGAGACACTTCCTCTCAATACCATGTCACACTGAGACACTTCCTCTCAATACCATGTCACACTGAGACACTTCCTCTCAATACCATGTCACCCTAAGACACTTCCTCTCAAAGCCATGTGTAATTTTGTTTTTGAGAGGGTTTTCTGGTTGTACATGTAGATATAAGGACTAATTTGATTAATATAGTTGTAAGCTGATTGACTTTTCCAGCTCCTTATCAATGATGTAGATTGTTGTTTCTCATGCCAGAATCTCTGCTTAAAATATTGAAGGACATGGCTAGCACTGTGTTTTTCTAACAAGAGATCATGCATTCTGTATCTATTACAGCACTGTTAATTTTTCTCAAAATACTGTGAAGGCCCATGGGCCTGATGTAAACCTGTTATTTTTAAACCGTGTATATAAAAATGATTATTGATGAAATATCTTATATCTAAAAATGATAACCAATAATTGCTAAGTAATTTCGTATATTTGTATGGTTTGATATTTTTATTTGAAATTAAATTTGTGACTCGTCGTCATCATTTCCTCCCTGATGGGTTTATAAGCCCTTGCCATGGACCTTATGTAGTGATTTATGCAAATCTCTGTTTCATCTTGCACGTAACGATGCCATTACCTGAGTATTGATTGCTAAGTCCTTGTGCAGCTGGATCTAATGTGATCCATAGACCAGTGACATATCCTCTGTGGTCGTCACAGCATCAGCAGCCATTCTCACAGGTAAATAGACAGGTAAACAGACCATACAGGTAGATGGGCAGATAATGAGATACAATTGCAAGATAAACAAAAACTTTTCTTCTTCTGGTATTGATATCAGGTTTTATGTGACCAGGTGAAAATAATACCAGAGATAAGGCAATGGAACTATTTACTTTTTACAGGTGTTCATTTGTTCTTGGTAGGGATTTCAACTATCTGCATCATGCTGTGGTTATGAAGAAGATGACTTATTGATTGGATGGTGACTTGTGGACTTGACACTATGAGGCAGGTAAGATGGATGAAAGTTAGCAGATTAATGTTGTAAACAAATTAAAAAACCCTCACACAGCTTGTTAGTTTGTTTGTGTAAGTGCAACCGATCAAAGTATTACTATCATGATGAAGCATTCAAAATACATAAATAGCGAAAATTTGAAATTGAATAAACAAAATCACTGAAAATTGATGTTTTCTTATTTGCTATATATTTTACTGTAAAAAACAGCTCTAGAAAGGGAATTATTTTTTCATCACATTGTAGGTTTATATTTTCTAAACTTGTGATATTTTCTAAACTTGTGATATTTTCTCAAAATAGATATTTCCCAATTTTTGCCAAATGCTGATGATATTTTCCCAATTCCTGACCTGGGGCCTTTTCCAAAAATAGCTGGCAAAACCCTGGACATAGTACACTTTATATGAGGACAGTTTATACAGTGGATGAATCTGTCAGCAGTGGTACAATTGTATGTCGAGTTATGATCATTTTATCAAGAGAGACACTAAAAGGATTTTCAACAGAAACCTTGGAGGGACAGCAGCTGACCCAGACTGCAGAATATACTACAAACATATACAGGACACATGGATTGGTAGCACTATCTATTAAATGGTAGGAGATTTATAATGATTAATTGTCCATATTAATTTTAAAAGGACAGCTGACCCAAATAGATTATTCATCACTTAATAATGAGTAGGGTCCAGTTGTTAAGAACCTCACCTAGGGAGGTCGGGTGGCGCCGTGGATAGCATACTTGCCTTTCACCAAGGCGGCTGGGGTTCGATTCCCCGATCAGACATGAAAAAGTATGGGGGTCACCTGCCTGACCACCTGAGTTTTCTCCCGATACTCCGGTTTCCTCCAACAGTAACATTCGGGCCAACGAGAGTGATTAGTATAAGTTGTAAAGACTTGATTATTTCATATTTTTTGTAAAATTAATAAAATTTATATTTGTGTACCTCACTAGATTGTCTTGAATGATTTGAAATTAACATCCAATGACAAAAATGAAATTATGAATTAAAATTGTTTCAATGACATGGTGAGCTAATTGGGTTTGGTCCATAGCAACCAGGGCCCATAACAACCAGGGCCCATAGCAACCAGGTACATAACAACCAGGGCCCATAACAATCAGGGCCCATAGCACCTATTGATATAATCATGAAAGAGAATGTTCTGCTTTAACTGATGTACTTCTTCGCATAAATTGCATGAATATCATTTTGTTAAAAGCCTAAAATGTCAAGTAAAATAAATATCAACGGTCATTCTTGATCCAAGTTTCATTCTTAGCCGTCATCAGGTATTGAATGGTCTATCTCCTTATGCCACATCCATATTTGGTTTTTCAAATATGGATGTGACATAATAAGGCAGAGGACCATTCAATCGCTGATGGAGGACTTAGCCAAATAGCTTGGATCAGAGTGACTGTTAATAAACGCTCCCTGTTGGAACTTTGTAAAAGACATTTAATCTGAAATGTCAAGATAGCGTCATTTTAGGATTTACACATTTGTGTTTTTGATATCTGTACTGGGGAAAATCTTTAAAAGAAAAATTAAAGCAAATTTTCCCGACTTGAACATGTACACCAATATTATAATAATGATAAAGAGAAGGGTTTCTGTTGTCCCAGACATTTAACCTCGTTTCCAGTAACCACTAGAGATCTACGTCGTAATCAAAATGTCAACCTGACAGGTTTTCTGGTGTTAATTTCACATTAAACAAAATGAGTTTTTTAGTGTCAACATGCTACCAGTCAATACCAGGTGATTGAGTGCAATAATGATACCATCGTCAATTAGGATTCATTTATTTAAAATCAATGAGATAAGTTTCCCTTTCATATCAGCAATGGGTACTGAATTCATTGATGTGGTTTCTTTTTCAAAATATTCAATATTAGGAATGTCTGGTCAGTATTTGGAATAGATAATTGCCATTGTACCAATAGGATCATTGATGGTTTGATGGAATATCGCGTGCTGGGTGCTGACAGATACTGTTTTTTTTTCAGATTTTTCATCAATGCAATGTACATGTACAATAAATAGCAAAACATTCACTCATTTGTATACTGGCTTGACAGATACTGTTTGCAAAGTGCAAATTTATAATATATACAGGCAAATTGATTTTTAAGGTCACCCGAGGCAAAGTCTGGTGTGACATCGTGATTGTTATCCGTCTGTTGTTGTGCATCGTTTGCCGTGCATTACTTTTTTTACTCTTTTCAAAAAAAAGAAAACTTGTAACCAACTTAAAATACAATTTAAACAGTCCTCTCCTTCAGACATAGATATGCTGGAAGCAAATACTATTTATGGAAGTAAAGGTTCGTATGAATTTCATTAACCCATGGGAATTAACCTTCCACTCTTCCTCTGGGAGGGAGTAAACCTTACTATATTTTGTATAGGGAAGTATTAAACACTTTATGATAGTCAGTAGGAAACAATTAAAGCTTGGTTTAATTTATTGTCATGGGATGGGGGATTGGTAATATGAAAATTCAGACTGGGGTAACCCACCTTTTGTGCTGGGGCTGGGTTCACTATTGAAGAATTAGCATGGAATAAAAGTTGGTTTAGTGCAAAATGATGATTTTCATTACATTTGGGTTACCTATTCCCTATTGGGGTTGGGGGTAAAGTTTAATATTGGTAATTGATATATATATAAATAGCTCTTGGGTTTATTTAAAACTTCATCCTTGGCAGTGGCTTGTAAAGCAGAATTTTGTTGATAGTATTACAGGTCTGGGAATTTATAGCGTTTGCTTGATACAAATTATCGAGGGGGATCCATATTTTGAATACAGAATGGATGCTAATATAAGTTTGTGAGAATTTTCTGTGTACAATTCGTTAATCTACTACGTGTATAACCATGCTGCCATGAACATTTTAGGGGATGGACGTCTTTGGTATGCCCAAAACATCTTTGGATCTACGGTATGACTGTTTATACCGTCTATAGTAAGGTAAAACAAAGAAAAAACAAATTAAATGTAGGAATATATCTACTTTCTTTGTTTCTCTTTAGTCTGGTATCATTATTTTGAGGTAGATTACGCTTTTTTGTTCGTGTATTTTTAGCAATCTCCAGAGTCAATCAGTACATTTACAAGCGTACACCTGCTGGACGGTGTTACTAAAAGAGTTTCACAGTATTTTAGTTCTGTTATTGGACAGTGTGCTGAGCGTGATAAATGGTCCTACAGATTATAGGTCAATTGACACTGCTGGGAGTGTCTGCATTATTTACTACCTATAAAATGACAGTGTTTGTCTTCGTTAATCTTTTGTTAATCTTTTGTCCTCGTTACTGGGGATCACCGTGGAAATGACTATATCTAGTCCATAGATCTACAAAATCAATGTCTGACAGCAACCAATCAGGTTTAAGTCAGGTAGATATAGGGTTACTTCAGTGGATCAGTATGGAAATCACAATAATTACACATACACACAAAAATCAATTCCTCCATATCCATTCATCACAACAGGGGTTACCATAGCAACAGATTGGATTGCCTGAAATTCTGTGTAAAAATCACTGGATTTTCATCAAATACAATCAAGTAAGTAAAAAGGTCAGGTGGCAATGAGGTCAGAGGGTTTTACCAAAAACTGGACTATCTTATAAGGATCAGTGGAGGAGAATCTGGAGCATGATAAGGTACTGTTTCCTTACAGGTGAGAGCTGTCTATAGCAGGTGACATATCGTTGGCACTGTCCACAGGTCATATATTTACCTGACCAGTTTTATTCTGTGATTTAGTGATTTTATCTATGCATATGTTCAGTTGGGCATGAAGAATACATTTGGATATGAATCAATAAAAGCTGTACTATTATTTGCCCATAAAGTTGACATCATTAGACAGTTAACTTCCTTTTACCTTTATTTGCCACATAAGGATAGACTAATTGCAATGTTTACATTAGGGGAAATGATGAGCTCTATAAGACCTATCTGACATAGAATTCAATGCATAATTTCGCTCTTGTCAAATCCTTATAATGATATAGATTTTGATGTAAATCTTCATGTAAAATCAAAAGATGATATGTTCTGTTTTGATCAACGTACTGCGACCTTAGTTCTAGATGCTAAGCTGCAGCCCAAGGGCTTTGATTATATTGACATTGTCGTATACACACATTGACAGGTACTCCATATGTATAAAATATACCTAAAGAGGTTTGTCGTTTTTTCAATGGATTCGTTACCGCATAATTTTACTCTTGAATGAGATTTTTAGGAAAAAATTAAAAGAAAATATAATGAACCTATTGATCATCCCCATTCCTTATTCCTGAGCCTCCCATTCTTTACCATAATTAACCAACTGAAAACAGTGTCCTTTATAAATATTTTTTTACCCTTTGGAAAGGTTTTGTTATCATTCTAATTTCCAAAGTTGCTAAGCAACTAAGGCGTTTATTCTTTTTTAATGCATTATGAATAAAAAATCACTCAGAGTTATTACGATAACACAGTGAAATTTCTGGATCAAAAACAATATTCATGAGATAACCTAGTGAGTTCTGTCAATTAGATCACTGGGTTGGGTCTGTAGATAAGATGACGTATCTGTCATGTTAAATCACCACTGATGTTTATGGCTGGGTTGGATTATCTTGCTTCAAAACTTCCAACAATAAAATTGCAGAACCTGTACTTAAAATTATTAGTCTATCACAAAAAGTTATGTCTCAGTAGTTTATTTGCCTTTGCCTACAGGGTGGGGGGAGGGGCGTGGAGGCTGCAATCACAAGTGTTGCGCCACTGGGTTGGTTGCAGGTTGACCATAGCTGTTACTAGGATGTAGAACACAAACCCATACCACCCAAGCATTGACCAAGACTTGATCCTACTCATCACGGCCATTTGCCTTTCTCTCTGCCTCAACACAAATCTATGTGTAACTATTGGGGGTCGTTTGTTACTCTCATCTTTGTTTAATGTTATTCTCTCTTTCATTTTCAATTAGGTTGGTTACATTCTAGCATCAAACATTGCTGCTAACCACCATTTTCTTCAGTGAAGATGATCGATCTCAACTGGTAACAGTCATTGAATACCTGCACTTTTTACCCAGAAGACTTAACGAAGGGGTAACTCATATTGCATTAGATATCACTATAATGTTCCTCTCACAAGTTGAAAGCATCTGTAATATTCATTTATATACATTTTATTGTACTCCCTGCAAACGAAGTATATAGGACTTGCCCTGTCCGTCCTTCTGTCTGTCTCAGTCTGTGAACATTGTAAACTGTTGGTTGGATTTTTTTCTCGTAATTTGCACATTGAATGTACGTCATATGTTGATGTGTATGAAGAAAGACATTCATGATTCAACTATTTTTCCTGGAGATATGGCCATTGAAACATTAATTTCTGCTCCAGAAACCTAAAGTAAGTGCAACTCCTCTTTACCATTTTTTTTGTGTAACTTGCCGCAGTGAAAGTTCATTATATGTAGATATGTATGATGGAAGGGATTTGTGCCAACACTGGCTCAACAATTATTATAATGTTGGCCCAACATTCTATCAACATTTAATGGGACAATGCCATTACGACGGTGGTCAAAAGTCATGTCATATGTGTGATAGGAAATGTATGCCTTTAACTTTTGTACCAGATTTGACACTAGTTACAATACACTAATGCTGCTACTACCATTTTCTCGGGTGGTTTGCCATGTTTGTATGGTTTGTCACTCTTTCAATCTTTACTCGTTGAATAATTTAAAATCAATTAATTTGTAATCAGCATTTGAAAATATAGGTAGACTGATAGACAATTACCATGAAAAATATAGATAGACTGATGGACAATTACCATGAAAAAGATATAGGTCTGTTTTGGGGAATCATTTACTTCATAGACCAAACGGTCTTTGAAGTTGTTTCTTATGATGTGTATGCATCAATGATAAATATAGTATTTAGCCCTTTCATCCCTATGTAACTTTAGTAGACTTTACCATGCATTGATATGGATGAGTCCATTATGGTCTACAATGGTAAAGGGTTAAATAGAAAAAGTCTTGCGTTGAATTATTTTACTTCCTTTATATATGTTCTTAATTCATATTATCAACACTAAATATACAAGTAACATTTTCTTGGTTAAGGTCTGGTCTATCATAATTTCTGTAGGACTAGAGCAAATCTATATATTTCATAGACCTATATTGCATGTGGTGTGTAAACTCTTATTCTATGGCTGTATGTTATAGGTAAGTTAATGAAATATTGATTGATTTTTCATGAAGTGGTTTAGAGATGAAACAAATTGCACACTGTTAAGGAAAACAAATATTTTTTAGATTTACTGGAGGAAATACTTTAAACAAATTCAAACAAAAATATTGAAGTACCAAGAATGCTGTCATTTGAATGAGTATTTACTTAGTTGGTGTTTATGAGAAACAGATTTGCCAACGGCCATTTCCAGTCGACCAGCTTCAGCTAAAACATACTAAATAGTGAGTGTATGAGTATCGACATTTAATTGTTTGTCACCTTATCGTTCTGCAGTTTGAACAATAACAAATAACAAACAGTAGAATCATATCAATACTTGTTTCCTGTTATCATACTGTGACATGCACTTAAATTTCAACAGTTTTCCTCAATCAGGGAACTTGGAGGAAAATTGAGGCCCTTTTCCATTATTTTAGTTATTTGATGGTGATTAAATATAAACATGAATGATTTACAAAATTGATCAAAACAATTACGAAAGTCAACCCATGCAGTATACATGCATGTTTGCTAACTGGGAAGGACTATGAAGCTCTAGGTATCAAATACCACTAAGAAGTTCCACATTTGATTACAGAGTTCTGCATGCCTTCAAGGGATGGAGTCCTACCACTTTTCTACAGTATACCGACCTTAAAAAGTTTCTTTCCTTTTATACTGTTTCCTATATACAAAGACTTTTATAAGCTGCAGGCATTTTTAGCTCACCTGAACAAAGGGCAAGTGAGCTTCCGTCATTTTGTATGTCAATTTTTCCTTTTAAACGCTACTTGTCCTGAACGGCCAAGTAGATTTTTCGATTAATTTTAGTCTGGAGCATCCTTTGGCCAAGGGAATTCAAATTTGATTTAGCGGTGGGTGTGGCCCCCCTGGGGGCAGAGCAATTGGGCCAAATAGGCGAAATAGAAATAAACCTTTTAAATCCTTCTATCATAGGGATAAAGGGATTTCATCCCAATTTGGTCTGGAGCATCCTTGGGCCAAGGGGACTTAATGTTGTATAAAGGGTGGGTATGAACTCCCTGGGGGCAGAGGAACGGGGCCCAATAGGGGGAATTGAGATAAAACATTAAAAATCCCTTTTCTACCATAGGGATTAAGGATCCTTGGTCCAAGGGGACTCAATGTTGTATAACAGTTGGTGGGCCCAATAGGGGAAATAGAGGTAGATCCTTCTTCTACCACAGGAAATAAGGGATTTTATCCCAATTTAGCCTGGAGCATACTATGGCAAATGGGACTCAATTTTGTATAAAAGAAGGTTGAGGCCCCTCTGGGTGCTGAGAGTTGTGGGGCCCAATAGGGAAATTCGAGGTTTAAATCTTTACAATATTTCTTCTTCTGTACCATTGGAGGGATTTTATGTAATAAGAATAATTTCCCATGGTTGCTTTATTATCCAGGTGAGCGATACAGACCATCTGGGCCTCTTGTTAGGGAGTTAGAATTTGAAATATATCACTGTACACAATTCACGGAGAAAATGTCCAGGATAGGAAACCGTGACAACCATAATGCCCTGGACGTTTAGCAATGCGGGAAAATTAAAGATCGCAGAACCTTAACTGAACAGCTCAATTTTATATTTTTATTCAATATCATTTTAAATTAACAGAATTTTTGGACTACAATATATTTGTGAAAATTGCAATATTGCAATATGAAAATTGCTTGGAATACCTACACCTAAAGCTTGGCAGTGATTTATACATGAAGTGCTTTCATTATGGACTCCCATGGGTTTGAAGAATTACAGCTAATCCTGTGATGGTATATTAAGTATTTATGAAGTCATCAACAGTGCATAGTTTTAGCTGACCTGTCCCATTTTCCTCTCCCAGATTATGAAATACTGCTGTAGTATTGATAATGCAGTATTAGGACACAAGTAATCTGTATGCTAATCAACTTATACTATGTTCCTGACCATAATTTGTCTGTAGGGTAAGAAGCTAAATGTACTTGGCTATAGGGAATACATGTTGGTCAGTGACAGGGACTTTGGATCAGTTCACAGCCTCCTGTCATAGATAACACTGTGAGAGGCTGACCACAGAGGTACAGTGTGGCATAAGGTCGCATCAGTACCAAGTATACAAAAATCATATTGAACTCTATAATTGTGGCAGATTGTATTTTTACATAGGATTATGGTCGTCTTCTAGTTTTGCGCTACAGGGAATTTCCCTTTAGCTAAATGGTAGAGGGTCCAACTAGTAAGTCTGTGATCGCTGGTTTGATCCCCGGTGGAAGCACACTACTCTCTTTCCTGTTACAAATGGTGCCTGTGGCCCTCCCTGTGGTGACAGGAAGTCAGAACCTGGGTTTTGGTGTTCAAGGGCAAACACATTTAACCCTTTCACCCCTATGTAACTTTAGTAGACTCTACCATTCATTGATCTGGATGAGTCTATTATGGTCTACAGTGGTAAAAGGGTTAACAAGGAGGGAGTAGTGTGGCAGATTTTACTTGTGGATAGGATAACAGTTGCTTCACACTAGAGGGAATTTTCCTGAAGTTCAGTGGTAGAACGTCCGACTAGGAAGTCTGGGGTCACCGGTTTGATCCCCGGTGTAAGCACACTACTCTCTTTCCTCTTACGATATGTCTTCCTAAAAATTTACATAAGACTTCATTATGAGAACATGTTGTGATGTTTGCTTCATCATCCACTTCGCTATTTCACCTTGAGTAACCAGAGTTGATATAATAGAACATGTTGTGATGTTTGCTTCATCAGTCACTTCGCTATTTCACCTTGAGTAACCAGAGTTGATATAATAGAACATCATGTGATGTTTGCTTCATCATTCACTTCGATATTTCACCTTGAGTAAGCAGAGTTGATATAATAGAACATCTTGTGACGTTTGCTTCATCATTCACTTCGCTATTTCTCCTTGAGTAACCAGAGTTGATATAATAGAACATGTTGTGATGTTTGCTTCATCATTCACTTCGCTATTTCACCTTGAGTAACCAGAGTTGATATAATAGGACATGTTGTGATGTTGAGCAAGCTGTCTTTTTAATACCTGTTGGCTTCCTTACCTTAACCTTAAGTCTCTCTGTGCCAGTAGGCATATAAGGCCTCCTGTTGGCTGCTATGGTTTAAATAACATATTACTCAGTAGTCATGATCCTCTTGTTATAATGATTTGGTGACAGTTGTATCCAGACAATGAAAGATATATAAGTGTACATTTATTATATTGCATGACCATGTAAATTAGGATTTTGATTTTCAGATATGGACCCAAGCAGACTTTGACCTTTTGCATCACCATGGTTTCTGATCAAGAGAACACATATGTGGCTTAAATAGAGGTAAGACCAAATTGATAAATTCAGTATCCCCTTTGAATTAATTACTTGGACAAAATCTAGGTATCTATGTATAATTGGACATCATGATTTTCTGTAAAAGGTAAACTTAATTTCTTTTACAACAATTATGAAACAAGTTGTTTTAACTTACATTCATCACTCTTGTTGGCCCGGATGTAAGCGTGCAAGGGGTCTTAATGTGGGAGGAAACTGGAGTACCCGGAGAAACCCACTTTGTCAGGCAGGTGACCCTATACCCTTTTTTGTCTGCCTTCATGAAAGACAAGTGCACTATCCACTGCACCACCCAACCACCCTATATAATACGGTGTTGCTACTTATGCTGAAGATATTGTATGTACTCGATGATAACATGGTGCCAACCAGAACGTGTATCAAATTTCAACCACACTAAGCTTCTGCCATTTGTATCTTAATTTCTTTGAAATTTGTAGCCATCTTATCTTTTTTACAGAAAATTGATAGATTTGAATTGTAATTTTTCCATGGTTTCAGTGACAAAAATGATGAAAAAAGGAAACAAAGTTGGAGATAGCAGTGGCTTAAAGAATGTGGATAAGAAAGGCAACACAGTTAAAGATGTCCCGAAGGATGCAAGCAAAAAGGGCATTACAGTTACAGATAGCAGTGTGTTAAAGGATGGAGGCCAGAACAGCCCTGTTAACATCCAAATAGAAGTCACCAATGCTTCCACCCCTAGCACAGCCTCCAACGAAGACCTCCTCAGTATTGAGCAAGGGCAGAAAAGGGAGGCAACCAAAGAGGGAATTGTCAACCCTGTGTTTACAACACAAGGGGAGATAATCAAAACTGACAGTGCTAATCCTGACATAGTCACTAAGCCTGGTGAACATCCAAAACCTGATATTCACAAAAATGCTGATGGACTCACAAAACCCAATATTCATGTGCATTTCAATCATGATATTCATAATTCTGATGGACTTTTAAATCCAAATATTCACATAAATCCTGATGGACTTATTGATCCTAATGGACCCAATGACCTTGATATCTTGAATGAACTTGAAACAATCATTAACCCCGTTGATGGACTTGACAATCCAGTCTTCTCTATAGAGACGGCCAGTGATACGAGTAAAGCCAATACACCGGAGAAAGTACCCAGCCGGTTCAGCTTTAGTGACAATGATGTCAATCAGTTTAACCAACAGGTTGAGAGCCAGACTTCTAAGCAATATCTTACCCCATCATGTAAGGCAAATCACTCAACGCCTAGTAGTGGCCTCACTGTTCCTGATATCACAGGTAAGTGACCAAATGTTTACTGCACACATTTGAATTCTGCTCTCAGACTATTGCGTGAAAAGTTTGGTATTATCATTTTCTTTTTGTTCAGAATAATTGATTTATTTTAAATCTCTTATTTCTTTATTTCATTTTATATCTTCTGATTATTTGCTTACACTAGATCACTTGTTATTCCATTTAATGATATTGCTCCTTTGCTTTTGGTTTTGCCCCTAGCTGCAATAAAATAGGGGGCATATATAGTGTTACCCATGGCCATCACATCCGGTCGCATCACGATTCACTGGAAACATGCTAACAACTTCATTCTATGATAGATTTTGATCAAAATTTATACAAAGGACAAGTAGGAGAATACTTCTGACATCTCTGTGTTAGGGTTCCAAGGCCAAGGTAACTTGCTGTATAAAATAAATATCAACTGATTCATTGTCTTCACTCTTATATATCGCTACTTCGTTTTTATGCCCCCGTCATAAAATGGGGGGCATATAGTGTTGCCCATGTCCGTCCCGTCCCATCCTGTCCATGAGCGGGGGCATTTATATCTTACAGACATTTTCTAGTTTAACAAATTTTCATCAAAGTTTATTCAGATTTTAAGTGAGAGTACCTTGGTTGGGTTCATGTTCAAAATTGTACAAATGGTGGAGCTGACCTTTAAGGGGGCTGAGGGGTGGGGCAAAAAGGGGGCAATTTAGCTATATTGCTTTAAGCGACTTCTTCTCTGGAACTAAAAGATGGATACCAACCATATTTGACTGGAAGCATCCCTAGGTGGTGGAGATTCAAATTGTACAAATGGTTGGGCTGACCCCCCAGGGAGCTGAGGGGTGGGGCCAAAAGGGGGCAATTTGGCTATATTGCTATAAACGACTTCTTCTGTTAAACTATGCCATGAATATTGATCATATTTGGTCGGAAGCATTCATGGGAGGCAGGGATTCAAAATTATACAAATGGTAGGGCTGAAGCCCGGGCTAAGGGATGGGGGCCAAAAAAGTTAATTACTTGGAAATGGCTGCAATCCCCACCATATAACCATATATACAATTGCTGAGTATAAAGAGAAGAATGCACATTTGCTTCCAGGATTGCCTAGGGTCTGGCCCCACCCTTGGAGACATAGTCCCTGAGCCATAACTTTAAAACGGTTGAGATCCCCAGCCCAAAACTATATATACAAATGCTGGGCATAAAGAGACGAATGCAGTCATGGTATCAAAATAGACTCTGGGGTCTGACCGAACCCCTAGGGACCTAGTTTCTTAGTCACAGCTTGGAAACAGTTGAGAGCCCCACCCTATAACCATTTATACAATTGCTGAATATAAAGAGATGAATGCACATATGCTTACAGGATGGCCTTGGGGACTGCCCCACCCATGGAGGCTTAACCCCACCCCATAACCTTACATAAAATTGCTTTGGTATCCAGGTGAGCGATACAGACCCTCTGGGCCTCTTGTATTTATAGAACATTATCAAACATTGAAACTAATTTCACATGGTGTTGGGGACATTCATGTCTTACAGACACTATCTAGTTTAGATAAAATGTTGTACACACTGGTGCTACTATTCATAGCAAAAAAGGAATTTTAGAATTTCAGCTGATCAGATTCTCGGGTATTTGCACTTCAAGAAAAGTTGTCAACTTCCAAGATGGCCAACAAATTGGCAGAGGTACTAAAGGAGTAAAAGAAGTATTGCAGATGTAACCAATCATGATTTCAATTTTGAAGAGTCTTCAGTTTCTCATTCAGAACAATGATCTGTTAACATTGTTTCCGACCACTCCTACTGTGCAACCAGCTTTTGAAATTGCTCCAACCTTTAATAGGAATGAAGTCAATTTTTTGTACATTCTTAATTTCTATTACGATTATGGATAAATCATTTATCACACAGGATTCATAAATGTTTATTTAATCCCATACAGCTTTCCAGTGTTCTCAACTTCTCAAGTATACCGACATTCACAAACTGTATTAATGGATTTTTCATGCAAAGGGTAGGTGGTAGTAGTATAGAAAATCAGTATTGCTAATTTGGCTGGACTCAATTGTCTTAATAGGAATGAGAAATAAATTGAAAATTAGCTTGTCACTTACTATGGTAAGGGAAATAACTCTTACTTGAGAAAATGTACTTGTAAGAGAGATAACTCAACTGGACCCAGTCTGTTTGAGAGATGATAGTGGAGATTTTCTTTACATTGAGTATATTTTATCAAGAAGTTATTTTAAAGTAGATGCTATATATGCTGTTGACTACAACACGATTTACTTCAATATTACATTTAATGTTCGTAAATTGATTGTTTTGGTCAATTAATTACTGTTTATCATTCGCTAAATATCAAAATGTGTTGATCATGACTTTTCAGTCAGTTACTTTTTACTTACAATTGGCTAAAGCCGTTGTAACTTAGCTACAGTTTACTACTGACTTGGCTACAGTTTACTACTGACTTGGCTACAGTTTACTACTGAAAATTAGCTGGTCACTTACTATGGTAAGGGAAATAACTCTTACTTGAGAAAATGTACTTGTAAGAGAGATAACTCAACTGGACCCAGTCTGTTTGAGAGATGATAGTGGAGATTTTCTTTACATTGAGTATATTTTATCAAGAAGTTATTTTAAAGTAGATGCTATATATGCTGTTGACTACAACACGATTTACTTCAATATTACATTTAATGTTCGTAAATTGATTGTTTTGGTCAATTAATTACTGTTTATCATTCGCTAAATATCAAAATGTGTTGATCATGACTTTTCAGTCAGTTACTTTTTACTTACAATTGGCTAAAGCCGTTGTAACTTAGCTACAGTTTACTACTGACTTGGCTACAGTTTACTACTGACTTGGCTACAGTTTACTACTGACTTGGCTACAGTTTACTATTGAAAATTAGCTGGTCACTTACTATGGTAAGGGAAATAACTCTTACTTGAGAAAATGTACTTGTAAGAGAGATAACTCAACTGGACCCAGTCTGTTTGAGAGATGATAGTGGAGATTTTCTTTACATTGAGTATATTTTATCAAGAAGTTATTTTAAAGTAGATGCTATATATGCTGTTGACTACAACACGATTTACTTCAATATTACATTTAATGTTCGTAAATTGATTGTTTTGGTCAATTAATTACTGTTTATCATTCGCTAAATATCAAAATGTGTTGATCATGACTTTTCAGTCAGTTACTTTTTACTTACAATTGGCTAAAGCCGTTGTAACTTAGCTACAGTTTACTACTGACTTGGCTACAGTTTACTACTGACTTGGCTACAGTGTACTACTGACTTGGCTACATTTTACTACTGACTTGGCTACAGTTTACTACTGACTTGGCTACAGTTTACTACTGACTTGGCTACAGTTTACTACTGACTTGGCTAGATTTTGTTACTGTTACTAGTTAGCTTATTTGAATTATTTGTTTTAAAGAGTCTTACTGACTTGACTAGAGTTAGTTACAGACATGGATAGATTTTGTTACTGACTTGACTAGAGTTTGTTACTAACTTGATTAGAGTTTGTTACTAACTTGATTAGAGTTTGTTACTAATTTGACTAGAGATTGTTACTGACTTGACTAGATTTTGTTACTAACTTGATTAGAGTTTGTTACTAATTTGATTAGAGTTTGTTACTAATTTGACTAGAGATTATTACAGACATGGATAGAGTTTGTACTGACATGGATAGAGTTTGTACTGACATGGATAGGGTTTGTTACTGACATGGATAGAGTTTGTACAGACATGGATAGAGTTTGTACTGACATGGATAGAGTTTGTACTGACATGGATGTACATACATATTCCAGCTACATTATATGTGAAGTAACTCTCCTTCTTAGCCTGTCTGAGACAAAGAGGCTTCATAATTGGCTTAACTTGTAAGAAAGTTCTTGTAATTTTTGTTAATTGAAGGAATCTTTCATTAAGATGTTCAAAAACATTTTAGTATTTAATCGTTGGTAAATTGTTTAACAGAATTATATTGCAAATATTTAAAATCTGAAATGTTCAGATTGATTTGTTTTGTTACACATGAAGCTAAGATGATATATATATAGGGATCACACTGTTGACAGTGTAAACCCTGACAGAAGTTCTGGGTACCTAAAAACAATATCGGTAGAGAGTCCACATGAATTGAAGATATTATTCAGACTGACATACAACATTGACCTATATCTATAGGTGGCAGGTTTGAAAATCTGAAGCTTAATATAAAAGCTGATTTCTGTATCGATTATGTTTGAGAAATTGACAATGTTTATAGACACTTTGTATAATAGCCAATAGCCAGTTTGTATCCCACAGGGATTTGTTGCTTGTGTGGCCATTTAGATATATTATGAACAAGTATGAGTGGCCTCTCTGTTTGTATAGTCCACAGGGATTTGTTGATAGTGTGGCCATGCTGTCTGCACACTTTCCTCACATACCATTGATCTGCTCTATCTGACAGAGCAATGGGGATGAAGTGGCCAGCTAATTCAGATTCCTTGTCGTAAGGTCCAGTGGTATCGATTTTGTGGGTCTGGCACCGGCCAGATGAGTATCCGTGGATATAGTGTGTCCCAGTTATCGAACATTATATAGTTAAACTGTTGCTATTGTTGTAAAAGTATATCAGTGACTTAAAATGGTGCACTTTGTTGTGGAACATTGCACTGTAGCTGTGACCTTGACATTGTTCTTGATTTAATATTCTTGAGATGAAGAAAAAAGGACTCTAGACCTTATAAATAGTAACCAAGACTACGGACTCTCCATTTTACAGGATGAACAATGCCAGCAAGATTGGCTAAATATACCCTTGTCTTTCTTTTTAAATATGTATATAAAATTAACAATATTTTGTTTTGACCTTGACAAATATGCAGTGTCGCTGTATGTGGTTTAGAATTAATTTAATATTAAGTATTGACAACAACCAAACATATAACCTAAATATAGTCTGTATAATTA